AGTTTCTTACTTTTTCCTTTAAAGCCAAACGTACCTCTCCGCTGTATGTTGCAAGACAATGGTCATTTAATGTGCTCATCTGTTCTTTACATTTGGTGCTGGGAAGGGATCACTCAGTGCAGGATGAGAGGGCTGGAGCACCGTTTGCAGGGAAGGTTGGGTGAAACCCTTGGGCTATGTAATCCGGTAATTTGTGTTGCTTTGAGCAAGGAGGCACACGAGCAGTCCATGTGGTGGTGATTCTGCTGATTTACTGCTCGCACAGCAGGGGCACGTCAGCCTCAACCCAACCAGCAGATCACCTTGACCACTATAAATGCAAAATGGTTTAGTCAGTTTACAAAAAAAAAAAAAAAATCACAGGAACATTACGTTTATTTCTCCAGCAGAATCTGTTTCTTCCACAGTCTTTCAGTTACTTCTTTTCTGAAGAGTGCAGTCTTTATTTCAGACAGCTGCCTATAGAAAATAAGTTCGTTTTTTTTTTTAAAGGGCACATTTAAAGATGAAAACTGAGGCTTGAATAACTTAATCAGCATACAAATTACACAGATATAAAAGTTCTCTTTCATTGTCTTAACTTACAGTTTATTTTGTACAGAATTCATTATGTTATACATCTAAGACATTATATTGTATAAATATCTTGGGTGTGATGTATATACATATTCAGTGTTATAGATTCAGCAATTAATGTATGCATTTCACAATACACTATAGTGTATTTCAATGTAGTGCACATGATTTATATTTCAGAAAAGAGCATATCCACTATGAAAAATTGGTATTTCATTCATAGGGTACTCTACCTTGAAATACAGCGGGTTTTTTCCATTATATAATGGACTGCTTGTACCGTGTCGTATGGCTGTAAGATTTTCTTGTACATTCCCCAATATGAATTAAGAAACAGCAGCTCAAAACGTTAATCTACGTGGTTCTACATCATCAAGAGGAGAGCAGGGCACTGGTTTCCGAAGTTCTTACTTAAATGAGAAAGAAGGCGTAGACAAGCCACATGGAGCTAGGCTGTGTGTGATGGCCGACTGGAATAAAACGTTCTGCACAGATGAAAGCTACCAGCTCTCGCTTCTCCATGCTCTGGATGCCAGTGTTCAGCTGCCATAAATCACTCAGCTCTGATTTACAAGAGTTGAGGGGCTGGCATCAGCTTTATTTTTGAAGTTCACAAACTCCCCACATTCCATTAATCCACTCTTTGCTTACAGGATTTTTCCTGGGTGTCTCCCGGTACATGTACTGATCCTACATACTGTCTTTCCTTCATAGCAGGCAAAGGAACGCCCTCACAATGTCTTCGCTATACATGCCATAAGTAAGATGTGCTATTTGTTCAGTATTAAATTACAGGTGTTGCTTTCCTGGGCACCTACTGTAACAATATTCTAATTAATCTATCAGTATAGTTTCTGTTTTCTTTTTTATACCGTTCTAGTTTCCTACATACATACATACATACATACATACATATTGTGCCTTTTCATCATTTGGCTACCTTTGCTTTGTAATCTCAAAAGCAGAGATTCTTTTATCAACATATAAATGCTGTTCATTTAACAGCAAAGCAGAATATTAGATATTCCGTGAATAAAAGACTTTATTTTAAAAGAGTCATTGAAAAAAATTTAGGTGAATCAGAAAATTATGGGGTTTTAAAATAATTTTAAATTAAGTTTACTTACATTTAAAGTATGTCATCATTTTGAAACTAAAATTTGAGATACTTCATTTAAAAAGGACTGACCAACTCAGAACTATATTTTGCATCAAATATACTCATATAACTTCTTTTCCTTTCTGTTTTATGAGAAGTAGGATAAGTGCTTAAACCAGCATAAGTCCAGAACAACTCCACTTTATTGGAGTTATCCCAGTTTTACTGCGAATAGAATTCTCTCCTCCCACTTCTTTTGTTTTTTCATATTGCCATCTTTCCATGTAAGAACTTTCATGTAACAAGATGTGATGTAAAGCAAAAAGAAAGGTTATATGAATATGCAGTTGTAGATTTTTTGCACCCCCATTGCCAGATTTGGGGAGGGGTCTTTTTTGTGGACGGCTGTATCCAATTCCATTGTTTAGCTGACTGATCACCAGTAGTGGCTGTACTCCTTTCTAACAGGCCATATTTGTAATTTAACTTTGTGACAGATCTGTGTATGATGCCTATGACTGCAAAAGTCATGACTAAAGAAGCCCCACGTTCAGCCACTGAGCCACCTCAGAACTTCATGGAAGACCTTCACGTCCACGCTGACAGATACTGCATCAAGCTAGGACTTTACCACCCTAAGGTAAGTAGAACACAGACCCTAGTTACGTGGCAGTTTCTACTCCAGAGTGTATTTTAGGTATGTGCTTGGTCATTCTGGTCCAACACTAACAGTCCTGGAACCCTGCATTCATAACTGTCTTCAGCAGCAACACCTGAAAGCACAGGGCTTTGCAAGCCACATGGCAAGTAAATGCTGAAAAAGCCTGAGGTCTCCTTTGGTGGCTTCTAGCAATGTCCACATGGCACGTAGGACTGTCCTTCCTCCACCCACTAGCATGCAGCCTGAACATACAGCTGCTTGTAGGTACTACGGACAGCCAGGGATTGGCCGCCGGTACAAGTTCGGGACACGACAGCATGACAGTAGAGGGGCACCTTAACGGAGTGATCCTCAGTCCTTCAAGCCATAGCCCTTGAAGGGGAATTTGCTGACCGAGTCACTCGAGCTGTTGACTTGCGTTGCCTACCAATGAGTGAGAAGAGCGGCTATGCACACCTCTAAGTCCCTTGGCACGGGGTGTGCTTACGTGACACCGACTAGGGACGGAGCTCAGCATCTGCCAGTGGATGGAGCAGGACTGTGGCCACAGGGAAGTGGGTCTGGAGTCCAGTGCACTGCTGTGAGAGCGTAGTTTCGCTGGTAAGCTGGTGGGTATGCGTTCACGAAAACAGCTGTGCTGTTGCCCTCTGCAACTACCGGCAGCAAGTTGTTTCCTCTGATTTCAAGGCTAAATTTATTTGTGGTTCATTTATGCTCATTTACTCTTGTGCAAACAATACACTTGGTTTATGGCTGGGCCGAATACAAAATAACATGTTGGGAAGAGACGTTAAATTCTAAAAAGGGAGTCTTCTGTTGTTAGTAATAAGGACCATAGTAAGAATTAATATTTTCTTACGAGAGCTGGACCATTTAAAGAGGAGAGAACATTTGTTAAACAACCCGAGATTTCATTTGACGCGCAAGTGCTGCATCCCTTATGAAACAGAAGCATCTCTACGGTCTATTATTTTATCTACTTAAAATTAGATTATAACAGATGCCATCCCCTCACTATGCAGTTCTGTGCCAGCAAACATATCACTTATATAAGCCTGGTCTCCTCACTTTCTAGTCTCACCATTAAAATTCTCATATTTTGCAGCAGTTATATTAAACATGTTCCCAGTTGTGGATTAGGATCCAAATGCATAATTTCCCATCATTAAGGTTGCCCGGTCTGTTCTAATATCAGAGCTGAATTATAAAATTCAATTTGGATCTTGTGTTTATTGCACAGGATCCGTCACAAGAACATGTGCTTTATTGGTTTTGTTAAGTATTATGTAGGTGCAGGGTTTTTTTCTAACTGTAATTTTCAACTTATTTCAGTCATCCTTCAGTAAAAAAATACATGTAATGCATATGACATGGCAGCTTTGAATCTCCAGCATGTTTTCCTTGTTAAAATTGGGAATAGTCACTTTATAATGTGCCCAGCGTGTCTTTTCTTTCCTTCATTTTTTTAATGAAACATAGTGTAAAGTTTTTCTCTTTAACGGCCTTATAGTCAGAGAGGTTTTACACAAGGTCGGGGGCATTAGCCGGACGACTTTTTTCCTGCTAAACTCTACCATCAATGTATTAATTAGTACAGAGTAACACTGACTCCAAGCCTTTGCTTATTTGCTAGGAAACTTCCTTCCCATTCTCTACATTTCAATATCACATTTGACTTTCTCATTCTCATACTACTGTGTATTGTCAACCAAGCTGCTGTTTCAGCAAAGCATTTTCCTTTGAAGTATGTGCTGTTTTGTTGCAGGTTACTTGTTGATGTTAGCAATGACAAAAGTAAACCCAGGGCTACTCCTTGCTTTTTATTTTCCAGGGTTTATTATTGTATGTACAGCTCCCTGTAAGAAGATTCAACCCTTTCCCAGTAAGAGTTCTAATACCTTTCTATGTTTCAAATACTAATGACCCATATACCCATATGGAAAGGAGAAAGATAATCAGTGGTGAAGACGGTATCTCTAGGGGCTGATGCAGATGAATAGAAAACTTAAATCATTATAAATATTACTGTATTACACTTTGGTACAACCAGAAAAAAAAAAACAACCCTTCAAAGAAAATACTTAATGTTCCCTAAGTCAAATAAAATTCATGAACAATAGGAAAAGAAGTTAACCACATGGGGGTTTTTATATCTGTAAAAAATAGTAAGACTACTTGGCTGCATTGCACATAGGCAATAAAATTAGATTAATTCAGATCCCTTTTAATGTAAGCCTCTTTTCAGGCTGTAAGCAAGAAATGTCCACTGTGCTTTACAAAGGACGACGACTAGAAAAATCAATGCAAACAAATATCCCTTTCTTTTCTGATTTACCATTTATCATGAGAGATGACAAACAAATGAAGTCTCCTCTGAGTCTGAGCGTAGTTGTATTAACATTTTGCTAGTACCAGGCAGTATACAAAAACAGCCATCGTGTGTGACACCTCCAACACCTACAGGTAGCTGGTTTAGGGGCACATCCTGGTTTGTGGTGAAACAGCTTTAACTCAGCCAGCCTCTTGTACCTGCTCAGTGATATCAGGTTATCATCTCAGTAACTCCAAGGTTGGGCTGTCTTGTTCCTATTGCTGACTGGACTGACTGCTCCACCATCCATAAACAGAAGGCATAAAGGTGATTACAAACATAAGAAAGTAGTTTTACATATTGTCTTGCAGTCTTTCCATATAGTCCCTAAGTTCCTTGGAATCACCAAGATTCATATCTTGGCATACCCATTTAATATTATCATCACTGTCAAATAGAATTGAGTTGGTGTAGGGGCCTCCATCCTCCGGCAGTATTGTTGTATATGAAGTGAACTTTACTCGCTTCTGCTTTGGCCCAGAAGGATTTATAGGTTCACTTTTAACTTCTTTTTCACAAAGGTACTCAGAAGATCTGAGGATATGATTATGAAGAGTCTTCTGAGAACTCCCATTAAGGAGAAAGTTGCTTTCTTCAAACTGCATTCCTCTGTCAATCATGGTAGTGCACTCCTCTGACGGGAGCGAAATGTCTACTGGGTTTTCCAGCAGTTCAACCTCATTTCCAAGCCAGACCCAGTCATGGGAATGGGGGATGTTGCCTTGCTCACTCACAGCAAACCTTTTATGCCTGTACTTCCAGGCAAATGCCACACAGTTAATCAAAAAGACCAAGATTGCTAAGCAGAAAACACACAGCAGGGCATACATGCCAATCTCCAAATCTGTTAATCCTCTTGAAGTCAATGTGAGATCACTGGGATTGTTTTCTCCCGGTATTTCTACCTGCGTAGGGAAACCCGTGAAGGCAGTTGGGTTATTTTGGAGCTGGCCATCCTCCAGGGACTCCTGATCAATGGGAGATATGAAAGTTGTGCTTTTGTTTGCATTGTCCTCATGACTGGACACGTCCTCATGGTTTTTGGACCATTCTTGTGCTGTCCTCTCTTGTTCTGCAGGTTTCTCTATAGAATTGCTTGCATGGCTTTTAAAATCTCTATCCACATCATCAATGTCATTAGTGCTTCCTTTTTGGTCTGAATCTTTTTGACCGAACTTCACTTTCACACTTCCTTTCCCAACAGCCAGGATGCTCTTCCGCTTAGTCTTCTGACATGGCTCACTGATGACCATTTCAATTTTAATCAAAGGTCCTTGCCCATCCCCTTCTGCCACTACCCCAGGCCATTTGGACTGAAGGTTCTGGTGTGCAGACACTACCATCTCATCCAGTGAAGTGATGGTGATCGAGAAGTCCTTGGAGTCGTAGATATCTAACGGCGTCACTGACCCATCACTGAACAAAATCCAAGCACTGACTATGGCTTCCTGGGGGGGAGAGGATGAGAAAAAAAAAAATGTGTGAAAGGTAGGCGAGCACATATCAGATGCTCAGTTGGTTAAGTCTGTTTGACATTGGAAAATAAAGACACAGTTTAACTTTGGTTTATTTCGTCGTAAAGAAAGAAAATCAAAATGTCTACACGGCTTCTCATTTTCTTCTTGCAGATTTGTGTTCTCTAGACCACTCTTTTTTTGAGTCTGAAGTGAGAAGCCTCTTTTGAATGCCAGGGCCCCATGATGAAAACAATCATATTGCCAAAGTCCCATTTAATTTTATAAATTTATAATGGGGAATTTCTGTAATACTGTAGTTCTAATGTCATATTTAATACAGCGTGCAGAGCTGTTATGTGCTGGTGTGGTGATCCTGTTCAGCCCCTTGAAAAAAAACTAGGTTAAGAACAGGTATCAATGCAATACTTTAAAGTTTCTGCAATGCTTTCAAATATACAAGATTCTATGAAACAAACAAGAGTGACTGTAGTCCTTTCTGGGAGCTATAGAAACACTCACAAAACCACCATTTTTTAAGGCTGTTTTGACCAAAATGATTTGTCTTGTTACTGCAAATTGCTAGTGCTAAAAAGATAGTTACACTTTCTCTAGTGATATAGAGTCTCAATTCTACAACAAATACAATTAAAAAGATATATGTAATTTATTCTGTGGTCTCATTGAAAGCTATTTAATTCCTCAGATTATACAGCTCAAAGTAAGCACAAACTTATCAGATTTCAGCAATGCAGATCACGAAAACATCCATATGTGCAGCCAAAAGGTGCTTTTGGCTGAACTGACTTTGTGAGACTATTAAGGCATGGGGTTTCTACCTCTGCTTACATAGCTAAGCCATATTTTCCCATAGCAAAACTGTCCTGAGCAGCACGTACGTGCTCTCTCCAGCATTATGCATGCACAGACATGTCTGTCACTCTCCCTGTGCTGCGCAGGTCTCCAAACTAGCTCTGAAGAGTTCAACAGTCATTCTGCGTGGGTGTTTGCACCTGTAGGAGTTGGTCAATAAGATGAACAGCCTTTACTATGTGAAGTTACTGCTTTTCACAAAGCCATACGTTATATGTGCTGTCGAAAATTTCCAGCAAGTAGCTTTTCCCTAGCTTCTGACAAAGCACAGTAAACAAATAAATTAATTCCATAAACTATTTTGGATCATACCTGTTTCGGAGTATGAAGGATATCGTATGCAGAGGTGGTAGAAACGATAGCTCTCTTACTTCCTTTGCTGATTTGTAAGGAGAGGGACAAGCCTGAAACTAGTTGTACTCCTAGATCTGTAATGGTTACACGGTCATCTAGAACTATCACTGTCTTCTCTGCCAAGATGGAATCAGAAAGAGGTGACAGAACCTTGAACGAGAAAGCAAACGCCTTGCATGAAACAGCAACTAACTGTGTTGTAAAGCAAGATTAGACTCTAATCGGCATAACACTTCAGATTAATCTTGGGTTTGTCACATCCATGTATAAGCTATAATTGACACTTCCCCCAAGACATTACACTCGTTTGCTGCTAAATTACTTTATTTACAAAAATAATTTAATAAAACATCCAATCACTTCAAAATTGCAGCTTCATCTCAACAATGGAGTATAGATTAAATGAAATGGATTTGGTTTTCAAAAAAAAAAAAAGTCATTTTTGTGTGGTCTATAAAACTTCCTATGAATGCAATGTAGCACAAGACATAGTGCAAGACAACGATTAACGCTGAAACTCAAGAGAATAAATAAGCGTACAAAGCCTGGCTGATAGGAACTTGGCCTGCTGCCTTTATAGGGACAGACGACCTGAATGAAATGAAAGTGAGATTTGCAAAAGGACTTTGAAATTCCCACTGGGTGCCTGTCTGCATTTTTCAGTGCCAAAATAGTCGTCAGTTTGCTCTAAGACCTTGTTTCTAACATGCTCAGAAGGAGAAAGTCATCTTTCTACCGATGCCAGAAACAGCTGGTTTAAGCCCAAAATATTTGAGGTGCAATTTGTCTAAAGTAACATGAGAAATCTACAGTGTAGCTACCTGCATCGGAGCTAGCCGCCGTCTGCTCTTTTATAGTCACTGGAGTGAGAGACATTTTTAAGGGCAGAAATCCCTTGACCTCTTTGTGATGTTTGCTTTAGGCGGAAAGGAGCTGAGCCCTGAAAGTACCTGTTCCTTTGTGTTGACTACAAAGGAAACGTAGCGTGACTGGAACATTATGGATGTTTGCAGTTAATACAGAGCCCCGATGCTTGTTTTCCTTTATTTTGATTAAGAAAAATGCATAAAGTTAGATAGAGAGACAGGTGGTGAACATGAACACTCTGAAAGATTGCTAAAGATTATTTTTGTGTCCATTTTTTGTCATTTTGTGAACATAAAGGGACTAACTTTTCAAAGAGGTTTAAGCATATAAAGATGCTTGTAGTTCTTTGGCAAAACTGCCTAACAGTTAGGTTCATAAGGTCCCACTTAAATTAATAGCAGCTAGTTGTGTGCATCATGTAACTTGCCACACTGTTCAGCAAATCTCACTGTGTTGCTAGTCACATTAACATGGATAAATCCCTTCAGAAGCTCTATGGAAGTGACAAATAGCAAAAATTAAAACCCATTCAAACTTCCTTTTATGTTTAGCATGTAAATTTTTTTCAGCTTGTTTTTTTCTGAGAGCAATTAATCTTATAAGCTAACTAGCTCTTGTGCGTGTGCATCCAGAACTCTCTCTACGGAAGCTGCAGAGACACCTTAGGCTGTACCTGGACCGTGGTGATGCCATGCTCACGACCAACCAGAACTCGGCCATCTTGAAGCGTAGCAATCTTGGGTTCTTCTACCTTCATGAAATCAGTCACAAGGTCAGTGATGTCAAACTGCCACTCAGAGCCTAGCATATACGTCGAGTGGCCTCCAAACTCAGAGGATTCAGCTACAAACTGTGTGAGGACTCGCACCATGGCATGCTGATACTGGAGGGTACAACCTCTTCCTTTTTTGTCATCGTCCTCTTCGTCCTCACTGTCACGGGTAGGCCTGTAAATAGAATCATAGAATGCTTTGGGTTGGAAGGGACCTTGAAAGATCAAGCCCACCCCCCCGCAGTAAGCAGGGATTGAACCTGTGAACTTGGCGTTATTAGCACCGTGCTCTAACCAACTGAGCTAACCCAGCTAAATAGATCCAGGTTTGTTACCTGCTTTGCCATGGTCTCCCTACAATGCTGTGGAACTTCAGTTGCACGGTATTTTCAGTTAGATTAACGTTATCAACAGCTGCTACTATGTGAGAAATAGGAAACCACGTTTTGGATGCGTAGGTTACTAAATCTGGGCAAGATGCTTGTACGGCTATTTTGTGCTGCGCAATTTAAAAGCTACTGTCACTTCTGTTAGTGAATTGTTTGAGTGGGACCTCCCAGCAACTTGAAAATATGTCTGCCATTGCTGAGATTTCAGTGGAACCACCGCTTGTTCACCGTGCCTCCAAGCGGCAGCCGAATTTTGCAGAGGGCTAAGGAAAGCGGCGTGAAACGTTTATGAGAGGGCAGTTCTGGAACAAATCCCTGTAGCAGCTCAGCCGGGATGGCAGAAGATGGTTTAACATCCTTTCCTCCACCTTTGCCCACAACATTTGTATCACTTTGCTCATCTCTTCAAAACTATTGTAACATGTTCAGGATTCCCTGCTTAGGTAATGCCGCCCCACCTTATCCCACATCTCTACCTCCTAGGTTCATTAAGCTCTCTGCATTTGAGAAATACACCATGATTTCACCTTAAATCTCATACAGTTCATGCAAGTGTCTGGTATATTTTGTCATGTAATGACCACATGGGGTTTCCAGAAAACCAAATTAGGCACTTCAGTTACCATGCAGGACATCAATTACTCAGATGTACACACACCATGCCAGACTGTTGGGACTATCGCTCACCCCACAGAAACAACTGCAGCATTAGACACACTTTATTTAACATTTCCTCTCTGTCCCCCTTGCAAAATACAACCCATGACAATATAACAGCTTTCCATAAACCTTATATGAGGCATCACAGTGATGTGTACATGACAGCAGTGCTGTCACACCTCACAGAATTTTGTCTGGTTTAAAACCCAGTCTCCCATCAATTCTTTTTCTTTTTTTTTTTCTTTTTTTTTTTTTTGCTATTGTTTATTCCTTGGGACAAACATGTATGGATTCTCTTATCTCTTTCAAGTCAGGTATTAAGCACTAGGTGGTCACACTTTTACTCATTATGCCCCCTTGCTGTGGAATTCATTGCTCAGAAATAATTTGCCTTCTTCCTCTACTTATTTATTGAGCCCGAAGCCACCTCTATAGCAAGGGTGGGAAATACAGGGTAAGCCTCTTATTTTTCACAGTATTTTGGGAAGTAGTTTTGTGTTTACTGTGTCCCTTTATCTTCTCCTTTGAAATCCAGCTATGAAAAACTATTATAAAACAGAATTGCTTTTGTTATAAATTGTTTTATGACAAAGTTGGCAAACAGTAAGCTGAAAACATAGCTAAGAAAAGCCCTTATGCTCTTCAAAATGATAGAAAGTCCTGGTGTTACAGAGTCTAATACACTGGAAATACATTTTCAATGCATCAATTGTTAGCTGAATATATATATTCGTCCTCAAGTAAATGGTATTTGATACAGCCTTTTTGGTTTTGTTAGCAAGTGTCCATCATTAGTCGCTGAATGAAACGTCATTGAATAACCACTGAATTGTTAAGAAAAAACCCAGGATCCTAAAATAGGCTTTACATTACAGAAAGAAATTAGTCCTACAGAAGTAGACTAGCTGGGTATTTCAGGGAAATTTTCAATTGTTTTCTCCTTCCCAACACAAGTGTCAATCTGGACTATGAGCTGAAGCCAGCCAGTCAGCAAAACAGCCGCAAGGGAAGCACTAGAAGGGGGATATTCATAGAGCTTATGTGGCCCATGCCTATTTAGATTGCTTTTGGCTTTATAATGCTATAAAAGAGTTTATGAACTCCTTAACGTTCCCACTTCCAATTTATTCCTGTATTCTGGCCCTCTTCAGCTCATCGAAACCATAACCCAGCTCTGAATAATCTCAGACTTTGGGAAAACCAGGTTTAGCTCTGAGATTTCGGGATTTGACCCTCTGTTAGCAATACTGTTAGCTGCTTCATTAGTACCTGTGCAGAACTGGAGAAGAACGTGCAGGAGCTATTCAGGTAAGACGTACTTAGAGGATTTGGGGAAAAAGAGCCACAGAACCAGTGGGAACCAGTTTTCTTATGGGAAAAGAGACACAGAACCAGTGTTCTGTGGCTTGGAAGAAAAATGTTCACATGTTCAACATCCACACTGACTTAATTTTTTTTACAGAACTCTGTTTTCTGTTTCTGTCACATAACCAGATGTTTTACTTAGATCCCATGTGTTACCGTTATTCATTTTTATTTCTGCACTTATTTATTTCTACTTTCACTGTTCAAAACTTTAGACTACTGGACTGTTCCAGAGAAAATATATTCAAAACAACTTTGAGAGAAAGAATTTTTCAACCCTAGTCCCATATAGCTCCGAAATGTGAGTTGTAGGAAGAATGACCAGAGATAAGGAGTGCTGCGTAAGGGCACAGAGGGAGCACTCCTGCCCTTATTACCAGGCTTAACACCGTACGGGCAGCCAGTACTACCAACCAAAGAAAGACGATTCAAGTCCAACTCTTTCCTTGCGGCATCTCTAACAAACAAAGGCAAGGGCTCCATTTTGCTACAAAAACATTTATAGGTGTTTGTGTCTGTATACGTCTCCTTAGAAACACATGGTTTCTATTGCATGCAAATGTGGAACACCAGAAGAGCATCTCTAAACCATGGAATGGGCAAAGCACTTTCTTACGTCAGTGTCAAGTAAAAAAGAGAGGTGTTCGAATTTTTAGTACAAGCTTTGCAAGTCTGCTTTTACCAGGTACCAACTCAAGTTCTTACTTTTTTTTAAACAAACGATACCCATTTCCACTTCAAAGCCACAAATCCACGATTCAGTTAGTAAGTCAGAGCATTTTGGTGTTTTGTCTCCATGGACCCAACAAAATGTTTGAGATCCATTGAATTGCATAGTTCCCTTTACAGTCTTAAAATTCTTGTTACAGTGTTTTCAGTACGCTTAAAGTCCTTCATTAAGCAGTGAGCTCATTTTCTTTTTAAGACATGTCCTCATGAATATAAGCTATTGCTGCATATTGTGCTTTTTTTTCCCCTTGGTCATCGCTGAGGTTAGCTCTGGGTATCTCTCAGGATCCTTCTTATCCTATTTCTTGCTGCTTTGCAAACTTGCTTGGAAGATCTTTTGCTTTTCTGGAGTGAACCAAGGTTGCCAGAATTACATTTAATTTACATTTCACACAGAGAAAGCCTTTGCCAGCGAGCTGAGTTAAAACAGCAGCCCTGTTACAAGGGTGCCTGCTAGCACTGATCTAATCAGTGATCTGTCAACTTTATATTATAGACACTCTGTAAGCAGTTTAAGTATGTCTCTCTTAATTTGTACTGCTCTCAAAGCAGGCATCAAGTTCTTGAGCCAGTTGCTAATTTTCTGTTAAAAAAAAACCCTGAAGAAATCAGTTTTGCTGGTTTTGAATTTGAAATCTTCATTAAAGAGAGTCATGTATTTAAAAAACATTTGCAACACCCCTAATTGGAAAAAACATCTACTTCGGATACAAAATACAAGCCACTAGAAGTTGATTTAGTGGAAGCTACAGAAATAAGTTGCACATAGCTCCACTCACAGTTCAAGAAGAAATGCAATTTGGTACCTTTACAGATCTTGAAAATGCAGTCTACCTATTAACAAAAAATCTCTATGGCCTTATCTCCAGAGGACACTGAAGTCAATTAACTAAAGGAGTGAATTTACAGCGTGCAAGCTTTGTGCGGCTGTTGTTGTTCACAAATGGACCGGTTTGAATCCAGTTTCACTTAATTCACTTTAAAGGATGGCTGTATTTCTGAGCGGCAGCACTCACACAGAGGTTTAACTGAAGCAGGTTGTTTTTTTTTTCTTCATTTAACTTAGGCTAGCTTTCCTGCTTTTGTCTCTAGTACTAGACAGGACCAAAGTAGAGCTACCACCTAATTAACCATGAGTTCAGCAGACTGCCATGCATAAGCAATAGCATGTCTGGCTTAACTCTGTTCTGTAGGTTTTGAAGGTTGATGCTCAGAGGTTTGCAGCGACCATGACTTGGTAACGGCTTTGTCAGCTCTTGTTCAGTAAGGCCAGATGCTGGTAAAAGTCCAGTGAACTATGTGCTCAGCACTGAAGCATATGCTGGAGTCATACTGCGTGGTGTCCGCCTCCCTGGGAGCCTCATGAAAACAATGTGCTATCCCAGTTGCAAATATTTACTTAAATTAAATTTCCAGCTTGTTCTGTGAGACTTTAGCCATGCAATTCCTATTAGTGCAAGCTGAAGGCACGCATGCCATGTAAATGTATGTGCATAGAGCTAGTGCAGGAACTTCAAGACGGTGGTAATTATTTTGCAGATGCATGAGGAATCAAAATAAATATACTTGTTAGACCAGCAGAGTCTACCTGCACCTCTTCTACACTCTAATATTTGACTTTAATTTAAATATACACCTTTCGTTTGCCCAGATTGTGGGCTTTTCTGCAGCCCGTTGCAGTAGAGCCTCTGTTAGCCCGTGCTGGGTCGAGGACCGCGTACCATGCATTAGTCATGAGTTGATCCATGGAGCGGCCGTTCATCCGGAAAGGGATATCTGCATATCTGCAGTAGCACACGCCACAGATCGAGTTCTCCTCTGGATAATAATCAAGGTTTGCCATATATTTACAGACTGCTCTGGGAAATTGTATTACTGCTCTTACATAGGGGACACTATTTTTTTTTTTGTTTCTGGCATAAAAGCAGCCTGGTTTTTCTTTCTGTTCCTCCAGCCAGTTCCTGCTCTTACAGCAGTTCAGGTGAAAAGCGACACGGTTCAAACTCAGCTAGGCATGTGCCGTTTCTGAAATTTTTGTAAAGACCCCATCTTTTCTGTTGCTTTGTGGAAATTATTCAAGAAGTTAGGTAAGCAAACATGTCCATATTCACATGTATTTTACAATTACAAACATGACAGAGTTTATAGGGAGAAGCAATACATTTTATTAGATCAACAAACATCACTGGAAAGAACAGATGCGGTTTGGGGCATATAAACACTTTTTCAGGTCTGAAATGGAAGCAGCTATATTCAGATGAAGAACAGCCATGCCGAGGCAGTAGTTTCACAAGCATTTCTTTTGTCGGCAGCACCAATAAAAACATTTAAAAGATCATTGTAAACCCAGTTACATTTTGCCATCTGGCTCAGCCCCTCAGACAACGGAACCAGCGCAGCCACGCTGAGCGTGTGGGAACAAGGCAGTGGGGGAGCCAGAGGAGGCGAAGGAATGTTTGGAGGTCGCTGACGTGTCTCTGCACAATCCCTGTAAGAAATGCTAAAAAATTTTACCTTCTGTATATTGATGAATGACTTTATAGCAATGTTTAGTTCTTGCTGGGAAGACAAGGGAGTGGTGTGAAGATACCAACCCTCGTGGACAGGAGGAGCGTAGAAAATTGTTTTGTCTGTGGTGAGGTGAGGAATGAAGCAGACACGTTACAATCCTTCCAGGACTAAACCCGAGGACAGTGGCACAGTTTCAGCTGACCTGTGGGCCATGTGTGGCTGAACCTAAATTTCAGACTGCCTAAGCCTGTCAGCAGGGACTTTTGAAAGAATTCAGGAGTTAGGCGCCCTCTTCTCGAATTAGTTTCCTTTACGGGCAGATATCAAAAACCTCATGGAAACGGCAAATACTGGCTCTTACATGAAAATGAAGCAATACAATGCTATGGCTACCACACCTGCTGGGAAATGCTTGGATTTTGTTTTTTTAGAAAGATTAAAGCACTCCCCTTTCTCTTTCAAACCTGTTCTCAGGTATCACACAAGACACCCTTCTCACTGTACAGCACTAACGCTGTATGATGCATACCAGGAGGGCACTGTGAAGAATTATGGGCTGAACCATTGTTCAGAATAAGTGAATGTGGCCACTGAATAAGGATTCAGGAAACCAACCTGCAGCTCCTGACTGCAGCCCAAATGTCTTGTGTGCTTCAGGTCACCATTTAAAAACTCATAATAAAAACTCACCCGTGTTTAGGATATTGGGAAACACGTAGCTATGAAGGAGATGGAGGTATACGCAGAGTAAAAATTAGAGAGGAAAATTAAAAAAAAAAACAAAAAAAAAAAAAAAAAAAAAAAAAATCAAAAGGGAAAGCCACTAAATCTCAGGTAAAACCCATCCAATCTAGAAATAAAGGAAATGTAAAAAACCTTACGTACAAAGTAAGTGTCAAGAGTGAGCACAACTAATGCTAGTCCCAGATTGCCTGTTGATTTAGAATAACCCCCAAAGTTAAAAAGAAATCCACATGAATGTTCCATAAAACAAGAGACGATTTATTTCTAGCTGAAACCTTTCCCGTTCACACGGGCATGGACTGCTGACACACAATGTCATAAACTACCAGCTGCAATTCTGGGGAATGATGGAGTGTCCATACTTTCCCTTCCACCCTTCACGGAAAATGCTTGCTGAAGATGTGCCAGCAGTTCAGATGCAATCTGAGCAGCAGCAAACTCACACTGCTTGCCAGCTTGCAGACACAGCAGACTGTCAGACCATTATCTTTATTTCAGCTGGCCAAATAAATCTGAACTAGACACCAGGGGGTAAATTTCTACCACTGTGTAATGGGTTTAAAGTCAGAATGTCCACGACTGTTAACCACAGCTGAATGTCTAACTCACTGAGCTTGCTGCTGAAAGTGTACTCCTATAATAAACATCCACAGCCTAATGCTGCAGCCATTTACTCAGCAAAATCCCCACTGGTTTTAGTAGGAGCTGTGCCTAAGGGAGTGTTACAGCACTGGGCACGTTACAGACAGGAGAAGGTAAGCTAAGGGAAACCTTAAGCAGCTGGCCTATATTCGGTTCATTCATCACCCAGCACATCTCTTCCTTCCACGAATGGCAACTTTGCCTTTATCACTGAAGCAAACCCACAAATTTCTCTTGTGCCAGATCCTCACCACCTCTTCTGTCATAGCCAGAAAAAATGTCCACATAGCCAAGAGGTAAGTCAGTCCCCTCCTTTGGAGCTCATTATCTGAGTAGCCTGTAAATTGTGTCCTCTTACCCTCCGTTTTATGCCCTCATAAAGTGTTAGATAATTCTACTCCGCTGCTGTCTGTTTGGGCTCTTTAAGGCTCTTCAATAGCTGAGACATACTCCTGGGCAAATCGAGTGCTTTAGCTAGAACTGCCACCGTGTTTAGCACTACAGTTACTGCTGCCAGAAATGCTTTTTCACTGTATTATAAATTTGAGCTGGTGTCATGCCTCGTTCTCCAGTAGTATTTTTCAACTTAGCCTGAAATCCACCAATATAGCAGTGTTCCTGGAAGTTCTTTATCTTGCAAATTGTCCAAATGATGGTTATTCTACAATTGGTATTTCAGTAGGGATGGACAGAACAGAGCTTAAAGTCCGTCCCCCGCCCCCCCCCCCTTTTTTTTCCCCATCCTCATTTGTCCTGGTAGAACCTGTTCACCAGAATGCAGTCTTCAATAGGAGCATAAGTGAGTTTTTTTGCCTAATTCAGATCTACTAAATAATGCTTCAGCCAGCTCTGCTGTAGAGTGCATCTCTACAAAGACTGGCTAATCATCCAAAGTCACAGAACCAGAGAATGGGCTGGGTTGGAAGGGTCCTGTAAGGATCACCCGGTCCAAGCCCCCTGCCTGTGCCCAGTGACCTGACTCCCTCCCTGGCCCTATTTTATTTAGCACTGTAGACAGAAACTTAAGCACCGGCAGTGCTGAGTATCTCACACACAGAGTTACATACAGGATGGGAGAGGTCCAGGTTCTTTCCCTTAGATTTGCACATCGGAGTGTATGATACGATTTCCCAAGATTGTGTGGAATTGATTAATGCTCCAGGCAAAGCCACTGACTTTTCAACTAGATAGATCAGGATAAAAAATAGCCTACTGATACCATTGTTGGATGTTATAACAAAAGCTAAGACAGACTGTAAAGCTAATTTTAAAGAGAAGAGTTTAGATTCTGAGAGATACTCTAAGAATTCGTTGTGTTCTAAAATCAGAGGCCCTGGGCATGTATCTGGACTGTGCCAATGCTGTAAGCGTACCTTTTATTGGAGGTGACGGGTATCCTCCAGCCTTTGATCTGGCTAAGCTCTGTATCAGAGATCTCTATCTGCAGCGGGAGCCGCGGAACCCAGACTGTCACTTCTAATTGCGTGGTAAAATGCTGGTAAGTGAAGTTAACAATAGTATCCACTTTGCTTTTCATTTCCTTGCCATTAACGAAGATGGAGTCACATCTGTCAGAAACCTTTAAAAAAAAAAAAAAAAAAGATTAATTAGGAAATGAATAAAAGTTCCTGAGAAAGCACGAGGAATGATACATCAGCGCAAAGACAACACTGATAATGTGAGTCATGCATATTGTATTTTCAGTTTTCTAATTAGTGGCAAACAGTGATAAATGGACCCCAGGGAAACACTTCTGCTTTCCTCAATGGATACTACTCAAACTACAAAAATAATTTAATGATGTTACATAACCTCTGTGAATCTTTTATACTAGGCAAATTAAACTCTTCATGAATCAAACTCCATGCGCATCACAGTTTATGTTTACAACTTGCTTAAAGAACCTGGAAAACATGGGGCCATATGTTAGTAAGAAAAAGACTGACTCAGAACCATAAAACAGAATCCTTTCCTTTTTCCTTGAGCACTGTAATGCTGAAAGACAAAGATCCCCTTATGGCTCATGAGCAGAAGTGCAGCAGAAGCATTAATTTTTAGAACTTCTCAGTAATTGTTTTAGCAAAATGTATTCACAGTTGCTCTGTGTCATTATATGAAATTACTGCCAAAACTAGCACGTGGATCTATACCACAACTCATCCACCCTCTTGGTCTCAGGGATCCTTTGGCACAAAATCAAGGTCCTGAGCACAGATCCTGTTTCTATAAAGAACACGATGCAACAACGCAGCTGACCTGCGTTCTGGAAAGATGGAACTCCTTCTTCATGAGGTACCTTTTTTTAGTATATTGATGAGTGTGTGTGTGTGTATACTTTGAGATTCTATATATACACACATTTAGATTAATGTATAACATCTTTATATATGTGTATCTACATGTGTGTATATATATGTACATGCATATCTACATGTACTGTATCTATATACAGGTTTTCATTCTGCTTTGAAGCGAGGCAGAGGTGATAGTCTCCAACAGAGTCCATGTACTGTGGTTTTAATCTTTTAAACCCATGGCTTATGAGATGTAGTTGTGTTACTGAAATGGACTTTGTTCTCCTGTCAGGACTGTTCTGTGTCACGCTGTATAATGCTTTGGGACGCAGATCTGAAGGGATTCTGGCTAAGCCAGTGATTAAATTCCGGTTTACTGGAGTTACTGAGATAACTCATGTAGACTTCAGTGGGGAATATGCTGAAACACAGGTTGGTTTTGCTCTGCAAATGTACCTCAAGTCTTTTCTGATATTAACAGGAGTTAGGGGTTACTGAGCCAAGAAAAATTACAGAAATTGTGTAGCAGGCTTTTTTTTTTTTGTCGAAGGCCGTCCTCACATATGACTTTGAAATTAAGTTTGTCCTGCTTTAAATCTCACACGGAATAACATCGTTTTTCTCTTGAGCTCTAACTTGGTATATTGCTGTTAGATGGACAGTACCTGAGTTCTACTATCATACGGAGGACATTTAAATAACAAAGTTTTGCCTAAATGGCTCTCATAATGCTTTTAAGATTTATAGGCAACTTGCCTAAGAATCAGCTACTTCAGAAGCAAAAGAACACAAGCAACCTTTATGCAGGTCATTCAGTGACAAGGTTTGTTTCCAGGACTATTGTGACAACACTGAAAATTAGAGCAACTCTCAAGTCAAGCATGGAAGGAGAAACATCTGGGAAACATTGTGCCAGTTGATCCGTTGGTATATATCCACCGAACATCGACCATATCACATGGCTGTTTCACACCTAGTGAGACCACACAGCCAGACTTTCCAGATTGCCCCTTTTATAACATCACTGTACAACTAACGTCATTCTTCTGTACTGCTTGTTATTAGGTAATTGCTTTGCTAAAAATATTGTCAAGTGCCTTGAGATTCCTGTTAGAAAAGCCCACTGTCCGATGTTTTTCTCTCCATATGCAATACCCGTATATAAAGTAAAAGAGCTGCACTTCCACGTTTGCCATTTTCAAGTCAGCTTCTCAGATCCGAATCAATGCACTGAAGCGACAATCAATTGCATTTTTACAAAGGGACTGAGCCAGGTTGCGAGGGATGGGGCAAAGGAAACTAAGTCGCTCTTCTGGAGAGAATACTCCTTCCAAGTAAATGCTTAAATGAGTACAAGAATTTTTAAAAAAATAGATCTAGCTATCTGATAGAATGGACTCCAGGCTCAGGAGTACCACAAATGAGATGGAGCATACTCAGAATCTTTGTTTCCCTCTCATAATGCGTCACAAGTGTCTCTGGAAAGTTTAAGCACATTAATCAAGCCCATTAATTGAATGAGCAGTTGAGATTCTAAATCATAAAGCCTACATCTAGGGAGTTTTGTGAGAATTAATACAAGACAGAAATAATTAAGAAAACTCAAAGAGGGAGGGATAAACATCAAGACTGGATCAGGGGAATAACTAATATCTGACATGACAGCAGCTAATATTTTAGATTCCCTTCTTGCTGCTTAAAATGTTCTTGTCTTCTTGTCAGCAGGCAAGAAAGGTGCTAAATTAGGGAACTGAAAGATGGACTTTAATTGTAGCTGTAAAAATATCAGGCTAGGCTTACAAATTTCATGGATTATATGTCTAGACAGAGACATTCAGTCATTTATATACTGACCAAGAGGTAAGTACAAATCAGTATATATAACTATGCTACAGGAGTTCACCCAGTGGCCTTGCGTGGACTTCAGAGCTCATGTTTCACCTAAGTGTATCTTCCAGAAAATAATCCAGCCTTGGTATGAAAACTTGAAAAGAGACATTATTGTTGTTTCAGCTCGCTATCTAGAATTTCAGTTTACTCTATTAGGTACAAGCAAACCAAAGAATCTAAAGGAAAATTAAGTTTGTGCAAATAAGGGTGAAAACCACAGCAGTCAGCTGAATCCAGCTGAATCCTGTGGTGAAGTATGTGCAACCACGACCACCGTTAACCATTCCGGCTAGACTAAAGCTCACCTGAGGAAGCCTCTGTTAACACTCACATGCATTTAATTACTGCAGTGTTTCCTTCACTACACCTTACAGCAGTTGTTACCTGACAGTAGATTGGGTTCATCTGAAGGAAACAAGAACCTTGAGCACATATAGAAAATGCCCAGCACTCCTATTTCAGTTGGGATCTACTACAGACCTGGGACAAAGAATTCATTTTTTTCCGGTCTCAGATGAGAGCTGTGATTTCATGCTAACAACACTTTGACACTCCAAAGTCAAAGAGGGAATGAGAAACACACGTTTGAGCTTTGGGGACTTGGTGACAGCTGTATTCTCTGGCCGATGGCCTACAGCAAATGTTCACTTTCTCCCCTTTTAAGTCTGCTCCGTGTTTTTCTAGTCACACTCTGACTGCCAGAAGTGTCTCTTGATGCTGCTGGAAGGGCAGCTCGCAGGCCCTGCTGCTGGAGTTTGGGGAGCGCATGCCTGTTTACATCAGACAGCGCGCGGGTTCGCCGCGGGGCAAGCTGTGACGCAGCAGGGAGACACGGGCAGAGTTACATTAGCGGATGACTTAATGCACGGATTTCTTTTGAGCTGCTGGTTCTGAGGGAACAAAGAGAAAATGCGGTTAAATCTCTCCTGCAAACACTACGCAGTGAGAAGACACAGGAAAAACTTAGCATGCCACCCTCTCATCTAAAATGCACAGAGCAAGCCTGTTTAAAACAGTCTGTCACATCCATTATCAGCTGCCTGACACAAGCGGAAAGTGCTATTTGAGACAGTTTGTGACCAGGAGGGACGGAGATGTGCTCTGGTATGCAGGTCAAGAGAAGGAGAGCTGCAATTAACCTCTCCAGGCTTTGAAGCAGCTGGTTGGCTCCAATCTCCACGAGTAATTGTAAAAAGCACAATTTGCCCTGTACAGCCTGTCACAGCCTCCTCATTTTAGACTAATCCAGTACAAAAGTAGCTAACAGTCCGAAAGAGTAATTGGGAAACATTCGATGTTCAGGTCAGCAAAGGTTTACGCATCCTTTGGGTGAACAGGTAAAACGGAGGGAACGTGAACTGACAAGACGACAGATCGTGCCTGCTGCGTGGTTCAGCTTTACGTGCGGGTTTGATTCCAAAGCTCACACCTTACGCTCAGCTCGCAGGTCATTTTGTAAGGAGGCTGCATGAGAGAGATGTAACCGAAACCAGTCGCAACCCTCGTGGCTGTTAACCGCCCAGGAGTTTTCTGGTTAAACAAGCCTTTGCTGCTGAATGCCTGCTTGGCACAGCCGATTTTTCCCCAGCACTCCCTTGTGCGGGAGGGGAGAGCGCGATGGCTCCAGGGGAGGCCTGCCACGTGGGCATCTCCGGCCAGCAGCACGTCAGGGCTTTCCCAGCCCATACCTCATCTCCAAGTTCATCTTTTTTCACCTTCAGCCATATACTCCTCACCGATATTGACACGAATGGCGTGTGTGCACGCAGCTGTGTATGAACATGCATAATGACACTTAACGGGAGAACGACTACCCAAAGGAATTAATTCTGTTTAATTCGGTATGAAGCAACAGTGACTAAATGGATGTCAGAGCGGTACCGAGTACAATGCCAAACTGTCCTATGGCACTTTCCATCTGTGGATTTTCGCCACGCAAAACCCAAAAGGATGGTGGTATTTTTACAACCCATTTATAGAAGAGGGAACTGAGGCACATCCTCAGTGTACCAGAATTGGGTCTAACACACAGCCTTTTCAGCTGAGAGCTACAGCCATTTGGTTATCCAGTCAGGTCCCCAAATGATTTACATTTGAAGTTCAAATTCACCCTTGAAAAGAGGTCCTTTTTACACTTAATTTCAAAAGAGCCTTCACCAGTACTTCAGAACTGGCTTTTACAAGAGGAGGGTTTTTTCCCTGGAGTCAAGATCTACTGGCATTTAAAAATACTTAAGTTTAATGGGACAGATGTGCAGATTTCTCCAGTTTTGTAACTCTGGTTTTTCAACAGCAAACCCCAACCTTATTCCAACCCCTGCCTGAGACAACGCTATTTCCGATGTCCAACATACGAGGCAGAGCCCGGAACGCGGAATGGCAGCAGCCACCCACG